GCAGAAGACTACACAAAAAATAATCTTGACTTATCGCATAGTAATAAATTATTAATATCAAAAATGTATTTCTGTTTTTTCTTTTTACATATTTTGTTAAAATGCCAAATAAGGACTTCAAACCAAAAAAATAATAATTTTCTGTTTTGTTTTATTCTTGGATCGGGCTTTAAAGGGTTAACTTATTTTTGAATAACTTGCGTCCCTAGTTTATGGCTCTACTGTTGATTGTCATGAATCTTGGATGCTGCTGTACTTTCATCACAGAAATAAATCGGACTGAGTAAAGAAACTTGTTCTAAAAGCAGCCTTTGTGTGATCTGAATGTTCTCGAGGAAAAAAAATCTGGTGTCGCTTCAGTTACTCATCCTCAGCTCAGACTGAGCTCCACTTTCTGCAGCTTTCAGTCCAAAGTGTTTATTTGTCTCTTTTTGTAAAGCTTTCCTACTCGCATCGTGAGGACTTGACTTCCTTTAATGGACAAATTGCACAATGTGACGAGTAAATGGGTCCAGCTTTAGAGTGGAGACTCGGCTCCATGCTTTAGTGATGTCCTCTGAAGTGATGCTGAGGGTGTCTGAGTGTCAAACTGCCGTGAAGCTGCCGGGCTAACTGAGACTTCGTTTTTACCAAGCTGTTTTCACAGATCAGTTCAGAAGAAGTGTTGATAATTACTGCGTGTACTTGATGGTGTAATTATAACTCCTGCTACAGCTTGTAAAACCCCAGGCTGTCACTATCAGGGAGCAGAAAGTTTCTTGGAGTTTTTCTGTTCAATCCGTCTTCAGTCTGATGCGTTGGAGGCTGAGGCGGGTTGGGGTTTGGCTTCCGCTGTGCTGCAGGTATGAGGGTTGGGTCGCCACAGGCTGGCACATTTTATGTTGCTCTGGAATGAAGCACTTAAGTCAGGTTTTATTACGTCGCCACACCTTCATGCATCTAAAATTTGATGCAACTCTCTCTATCGAATCTGCAGCTTTTAAAATTAATCCAGGGAAGCCAGGGATTGATCCCTGCAGCGGTAAACTTGACTCAGCATGCGTAGCTGCACATAGTCTGTGAGCTACAGTAGCCAACAGCACGGTTCAGCTTCTTCTCTCAAGTTGCATTAATTTATGTTTCACTTCTGATCCCATGTTGGATCATTTGGATGCATACGGCTGCAGCTTTGCAGATTTTCTCCCCCAAGTTTTCTATCAACTTTAAGGACGTACTGTTCAAAGACTGCCTAATATATCCCAGCCTGTGGCCAAGAAGAAGAGACAATCTTTATCTGTTCACGATGATGGTAATTTTTTTCTTTTTTAAGACGTTCCAGTGAAAACTGTAAAACAATAGAGAATGAAAGGACAGACTGGAGGAGCTTCATTAATAATTCATCATACTAGTTTATTAGCTCAGTTCCTGACTGGAAATTTTAATGTAAAAAAAATTTAATATTCCAGGAAGCAGATAAAAAGATGCTGCTTTATCTTAACTTGGCTGAACATAATTATGAGTTTATAACTCTGTGGAGTAAAAGTTTGATGAAGCGGAGCAGTAAAGGGTGCAGGAGAGGCTCATGGCTGATCTGAGCGTTTCCTTCAGGGAAACATCGGCGGCTTCACTGATTGGCTGCAGCTGACTCAAAGCCGGTTAAACTGGTTTCACAGGCGCTTCCGTTCATGTTGCTGTTTGCTGGAAAAATGCTGCAGAGCCATCTGACCCAACAGGTTTAACAACTTTCACATCGATATCCTACAGAAATGATGTCTGGGTTCTTCTCATGACAATAAGAGTTAAAGTGAGCTCCTCGGCCGGTCGGAGCTGCGAGGGAGGTGTGATGCTGAGGGGAGGTTAGGTCTAGAAACGCCTCTACAAACCTGGTGAAAGGAGAAAAACGACAGAAAACAACGTCTGCATTGAACTTTTTATCTTTAATCTGTAGTTCCTGTAGTTATTATTACAGATTGTCAAACTCGTCTGCATCTGATAAAAGGCATTACATAAACATTTAGTGTTAAAAACATTCTTTTAGCTGATAGAAAAACCTACTTAGAGCAGTAATTGTATCAAAAATTCACTGCTAAAGATAACTTCAATTTATTTCCACTTTTATTAAGGAGCTTTAAATGAGTAAGCTGGATATTTGTAGTCAAAGTAAATGCTTTTGTATTAATTTAAGAAAGATTTAGAAATGAACTTGTAAATCAAATTTCTATCTTCTTTTTAATTCATTTCTTATTAATGAAAATAAATAAGATAATTATTATAATAATAGTTATTCATATTATTATTATAGTAAAAAGGTTGGCTTACAGAAAACCAAGTTTCCTCTTCAATCAAAATCACTAAAAGGTTGAAACAAAACTCAAAAGATACGGATATTTAGTAATAATAAATATATTGAAATAATTTACAGTTTTATTTTTATTGTTTTAATAGATTCCTAACAATTTTTACTTTTAATCTCATTTATTTCTTCAGGCTGATATTAATATTAATATTCGATTAAGCACGATGACCAATTCTTGTTTAAAAGAATCAGATTTCCTGTTAAGGTTTGGATTCTTTCTCTCAGTAATGAATACATGTTTTAAATGCAAACATGCATTTTCTCTAGAGATATGTCGACGCTCAAGCTGTTATTTGTCCATTATTGCAGCCAAATAAACCCAATAAATGTCCTGATTGACGGAATGAGTCACGGCGGTGACTCATCAGCAGGCAGGAAACGGTTAACGCTGCTTTATCATCTGGAGGTGGAGGGAGGGAGATCATTTACACAATAATTGCTGATAGATGCTCAGAGCAGCATTTATTTGCTGTTTTATAATTCCTGTACATCAGATTTTATTGACCAGATGCTGATAAGCGGTTAACAGGCCTCCCACCAACGAACAAAGTCCATTCTTAACCCTGATTTCTCACTCATCTATAGTTTATATCAGAAGCCTTTACATGTAGTAACTTGTTTTATTCTTAGATTGACGTGTCGAGTTCCTCTGATGGTCAAATCTGTGATGATTTTTTAATCTGTGTATAAAACTACTTTGTTTTCTCTGCTGATCTTTAAGTTATTAAAGATAAAAAGTAAAATCTGGGTTTTTATTCTGGGCCTCCTCTCTGCAGTTTCACCTGGCTGTCGGCTCAGGTGCACAGCAACATGGTGATGCACTTCTCCGGCGTCATCACCGACAGCTTCGACAAGGAGTTCCGCTGTCTGTACGCCGACTCGCAGATCATCGACAGATTCAACCCAGAAGAAGACGACATGCCTTATTTTCCACCATATCAGTCCTTTTTGCCACATGGGATAACCATGGGGATCGGCGGGCCAATGGGGCTGGATCTACACTCTGACAGGTAGGCGTGGGTTCAGCCTGGCAGATGTTTAGCATGAAGATGAATTTTAACCAGAAAGCGGTTCAGTAAGTTTCCAGTCTGTTCCCAAAGCTCCCAGCAGCATGTGAGATGCTCCTAATAAATTATACATCTTTCCTCTCTATTTGCTCATTTCTGCTCAGAAACCTCTGGTTTGAATTTAAGTTTGTGTTGCTGTTAAATTTCATCTACAGTTAGAAACTAGATATTTAGGAACACGTCAGATTAATCAGGAAAATCTGGTTGTATTGGGTAGCTTTGTGTGTTTTTTAGGGCTGAAACAATTAATCGGATTAATTGTGATTGATTATTGAAATAATCGTCCATTTAGTAATTGATTATTTAATGGTTAACTGGAGTATAAAGACTTTAAAACATGCCTTTAGCTGATATAGCATCCAACTTGGAGCAGTAATTGTGTCAAAAAATAAATTAAAAATATATATATAAAATGTTTATCTGTCAGTAGGCTCTATCCAGAACTCCTCAAGTGGAAAACTTTCTTTTCACCTGGTTTAATTTCGTAAAAAATATTCTTCCTTTTACTATCCCGGTTATTAATAGATTAATCGGGAAAAAATAAGCAACAGATTAATCGTTTTGCAAAATAAACATTACTTGCAGCCCTAGTGTCTCTTTCATTTCTCTCAGATTGATTAAAGACTATATTTGGTCCCGGCTCCTTTTCCTCCTCTTGTTTAACAAATTAGAGGAAAATCTGTAACAAATCTGTAGAAATACTCCAATTACTTCAGTTTAAAATGTTGACCTAAATCATGCTTTTATTTTTTATTCTATAAAACAACTCCCCACAGCTGCTTTGTTTGGCTTTTTAGTTCATTTCACTTAAAAAAAAAAGAAAGAATCCAGGTTCTGGCCCCAGTTAGTTGGTCTTGGTTTTGTTAACCTGGTAATTAGACCAGAACCTGTAACTGTTTCTGTTGGTGAAATTGTTGGCAATCTGATCCAAACTGTTCTCATTCATCCAAATTCATGTTAGATCCCAGATTGAACCAATTATTTGGTTCTGGAGTCTCAGGCAAACCTAAGAAGTTTCCTGATGAAGTGGATTATTTTTTCAGTGAGTTGATCTTGCCTGTCTCTCCTCCTGTAGGCAACGGGACCGGAGCTGTTCTGATCACTCCAGCAGCCAGTCCAGTAACAGCGTGTCCAGTATTAAGGTTGCTCCTGGAATGACCTCCAACAACGTCTACAAGGTCTCTCCGGGTCACGAGAAGAAGGATTCAGCGCTCCAAAGCCCCGAGAGAAGAGTTGGAGGTCCGCTGAGAGTAGGAGGACCAACCTCTGCAGTGCGAGGTTCTCCTAATGGAGGAACCAGTCACAACCTGATTACTGACCGCCAGATACCAAGCTATGGTCAATCGGCGGGCATCGAGTGGAACAAACCCGGTTCTGGGGAACCCTTGCGAGGAAATATTGGAGGAACAACCTCTAAGTTTCAGGGACTGGGTTTGTATGAAAAATCCTCCATGTTTCATAGCACCCCGAAGCACCAGCCCCCCTCCCAGGTCAGCGACGCCAAACTCCCCCAGATGCAGAGGTCGCCTCAAGGCCAGTTCCTCACCAAATTATCCGACAAAATCATGCCGTACTCCAAAGACACCTACAACTTCCGCAGGCCTCCATCCCCTCTGAACACTCCACCCTGGGGAGTACCAGAACTCTCTCAGCCGGAACCGGAAAGCCAGCAGGGCCCGCCGCCGCCAACGTCTCCACCGGGCTTCATGAGTCGCCAGGACCAGAAGCGGATGACGTTAGGCCACAGCAAGCTGGACCTGGTGAATCACTACAACAAGATGAAAGTAAAGCAGGTTTACAGCCGCTTTGAGCTCAAGAGCAAAAACTGAAGCTTCCCAACGGAGCGTCTCTTTGTGTCCTCGTTCACAACCCAGAGAAAGGACTGCTTGGACTTAGAGCTGCTGCTTCCTTATCAGTTACCATTTGAATTCTTCACAAGCTCTTTGTTATCTTCCACAGGACGCGTGGAAATAAAGCGTAGGCAGCCATTTTTGGCTCCGAGCTCCTGTTTAGTTTCACTCCTGAAACTGTTAAGCCTCTTAAATAGAATAAGGAACAACTGTTTAAAAGGATTATTCTGTTTTTAGGATGATCCTGATATGAAAAATGTATTCTTTATAAGTCATGTACTGCTGTTAACTCCTCATGTTCTGTAAACGTATAGAGTGGAGCAAGAGCTGATAGATAAAACCTTCTCAACACTCCAGGAACATTTTCTCTAAATGTAAATAAATGTAATCTTAAAGTGGTTTAGTGTACAAAGAAATTGGATTTAAAGCATTTTTTTCAATACACCCCTGACATCCCCAATTAACGGCAATTAGATTAAGATTAAAGTCTTAAAATCACTAAAATGTCAGGTTAATTAAGTTGATATTGTTGAATTTATAACCAAACTAATTAATCTTGTTGAAATCGAATGTTATTAATGTTTTATGAATGCACTGTATATCATTCCCTAGAGGAGGTGGTTTAATGGGTGCTGTCGGCTTCAGGTAGAGGCTGCAGCTCAAACTGAGCCTTTATTCCCATTTAGTTATAAACATATAAATGATCCAGCAGAGATAATGAGTTTAACAGGAAGCAAATTTAAGTTCTTATGAAAGTCTGGGAGACTAAACGGACCAATAATGAAGGAGCAACATTTTTCTCAGGATTAGCGATAAACATTAAAGCGTCATCAGCATATAGTGAAACTTTCTGTTCTACCTCTCCTAACAAAAAAGAAACTTTCTGGTTCGAAAAAAGCCTTTGCAAGGAACCAAACAAGCACATTTGGTGTTAAGATTCCAGTTACCATAAAAAGAAGAGAAATCAGGTTTAATTTGCTGCACAATCCACTGAAAACAAAGACCCTAAAACTGATTAATTTTGTTAAAACTGTTAAATAATAATTGACTTTTTTTATTCTTGTTGTGTGCAGCTTTTAACAGCCTGATTGTCGGTAAAGAATCCCACATCATACTTGTTACATGGTCACACGTGCCTTGATCCTCTGATCGTCCTGCCTTAAGGTTTACAGCCACATTCTGACCCAATTCTGTCCGAGGTACAAACTTTAGACTCTCTGATCAGCAGTAAAACATCAACAGTAATAGATGTAAATTTTCCGGGAATTTTTTTCCCTCACAGCAGATCAGATGATGATGTAACTCTGATTTCACTTGGATGGGTCTGAAGTCTTTATATCCAGATTTGTATATAGTTTAACCAAAACAAAGGCAGTTAATGCTTTGACGTTAAACACTTGTGATGATCATCAGCCAGCACATCAGGGCGATAAGCAATAAGGAATGATGTTGATCATGTTTGGTTTGTTTACGGCTTTTTTTTCTGTGAGATTTTTTTTTTTTTTTACCGCTTTTTATTCTAAGTTCAGCAGAATGTCATTTTGAAAAAAAAAAAATCCTGATTGTTTTAATGTTTTTCTTTTATTATTCATGGAAAATGTGAACTTTTAACTTTTGTTAAAGTTGGTCTTAATTTTTAAGATGAACAAATTTTAATAAAAACAAAAAACAAATAAGTGTTCTCATTTTATTTTATTTATCAGGTTCATACTTTTGACAGAGGCTGAGGAGAATTAAACTTTTTCTTTCGGATTAGATAGGCTCACTTCTTTTTTACAGTTAAATAAAAAAAAAACATCTTAGAATTGAGATTAAAATTGAGATTTTATAATCTATACATTTTTTCTGATAAAATGCCTGTTTTTAAATTAGCTCAGTAAAAAGAAACATTTAACAGATTAAAACGTGTCTCTTTCTCATAATTTTTATTTACATGTTTATTTCTCATTGTCTTCCCATTTAACCTTTTTTTTTTCAATTACTCCACATATTTTTTTCATATGCCAGATGCAGTAGAATCTATATCTTGTTTGGTTTCTGAACTAATAAGAAATGAAATCATCTCTCTAAGCACAGTTTCCTATTATGTGAATCTTTTGTTTTTTGTTGGACTTTAGTTGAGATGTTTTCAGCCTCGTTTCTAGGAAGGAAAACACGTCAATGATGAGTCCAGATTGGCTAAAAGCTGATATCTTTGGATTCTAGTTCCACCTCCTTCATGCATTAAAGCCATTTCCCAAACATACATTGACATATTTAGATGTTTTGCAGAGCTGCTTCTCTTCAGCAGAAATAGATGAGATTATCCTGAAGGTTTTCAGCTCTCAGTATTCCTCCCTGAACCTTAGAATCTATGTTTTCCTGTCAGGAAGTCGAGGTCCCAGGATCCGGGTCTTCGACCACTTGGTGAACAATGGACCGCAGAGTCACCTAACCGGACCGAACAATGCAAGCAGCTCAGTGATCAGTCCTGGGACAAACACTGAGATAGAAAGCGAAGATGATATCAGCCTCGTTAACTGTGGGCTTGCTGACCTCAGTAGAATCTCAGTAGAATCTGTGGTTTTACTGGGTCAGGTAGACCAGTGCTGAACCAACTAAATTATGACTGGTTTAACTGGTGGGTCAGCTCTGTATTCTGGGATTTCTCATCAGGGATACGGGTTCTATTTAAGCGTTGACTAAAAACAGTTGAGATCAGCTCTGTTTGTTGTTAGAAAACCGTAACAGTCGGCGTGTCGTTCTACATGTAGGGATCCGGGTGAACTCATACTGGCCTGCAGAGCAGGATCATGCTCCGGTGGTTCCCTGTAAACATCCAGCACATGTTTAGATGCTCTGGCAGCATTTCCTCACGTGCAGCAGGCTGTTATCTGCAGGATGCAGCACTTTTCCTGCCTCTCCCAGCTGGTTCTGCTCCTTCATCCAGCCTCTTTGTTCTTCATGTGCGTCTAGTTGTTGGTTGTTTGTCTCAGCGTCCTTGAGTCCGGCCTTGATTAGGTAAATATGTAACATAGTCCAGAAACTTTGACCCACAGATTTTAGGATTTCTTCCCAAAGTTTTTTTATCTTTTCTTGAACTGAACAAAAAAAAGCTGCAGCTAAAACATGAATCTGAGGTCAGAACCCAACTTTTTTTTATATATTTAAACTCTCAGCAGTTTTTAGAACAGAAGATAAATGATAATCCAGGTGTTTGAGGTGGTTGATACTTAACAGCTGCTGTGAATTTATAATTTAAAAAAATCTAAGCTAATGTTTAGCTCGTATGTTAGTTTTCTGACCCATTTTGTTGTTCTGTCTTTTCTGCTTTGGGAGAAATAAAGACTTAGACGTTCCTAAAGTTGTACTCCTGAACTTGAACCCACTGAGCAGATCACATCTTCATGAAAAATGGAAAATATTAATAAGGTTCAAATCAAGACATTTGCAATTCATGCTGTTTTAAGCCACTGTTTGTTGTGATCCCACTGATGGTGTGTGAGGCTCTCTGGGCTGAAAGGGGCGGAGCTTGGGTGACTCCCCATATTGGACTCCAGCCAGTTTCCTCATGCCTGCTCCAGACGGGCAGCAATTAGAATAATTTACTGCTGAGCTTCTGGCGGTGCAGCTGTTACGTGCGTCGCATCCTGATGCAGTTTTCACTACGACGCTCTCATCTCTCACAACGTTGCTGACGTAACAGGTCCTGGTTCTGGTTGTGGAGAGAGAAGCTGTCTAGAACCACTTATCAGATCAGAAAATCTAACTGAAGAACGAGAACTGCTGAAACTCTGGTTGCTACGGTTACTACAAACCTTTTCTAGAAAGCCATTAAAACACAGAGATAAATTCTGACCACTGATGGAGAGTTATTGTTAAATAGTTTGGTCAAATCCTTCCCACAACCTCCCACAAGCATCAAATGTAAATAGGGTCCATCTGTTTCTATGGAAGATGGACTGCAGATCCAGTTTGGAAGGAAAGATTTAGAGTCTGGTGTTTTGAAGTCCAGCCTCAAAGATGATTAATGTTTGAGACTAGAAGGCCTCATTACCATCCCCCTAATCTTCAGCTCCCTTCACAGACCTCTACCAGATTAATTCCAGGGTTGAGTATAATATAAATCCCTTTATTGTCCCACAATGGGGAAGTTCACTCTCTGCATGTTAACCCTTCCCCTCGGGGAGCAGTGGGCTGCCATTGTCAGGCGCCCAGGGAGCAGTGTGGGGTTAAGGGTCTGGCTCAGGGACCCAGAGTGGAGGCTAAGGGGATTGAACCAGGTGCTTGCAACCTTCTCAGAGCACAAGCACACTACTCTAACCCACTAGGCCAACATGTTATTGGGTCATTTAAGGTCATTAACTTTATTCAGAAGAAAAAAATGTTCTGATGGTGTTTTAGAGAGAGGAACACCAAGGTAAAAGAAAGGAAAAACCCAAAAACTTGACTGATCATAACATAACAAGATGACATGATTTACATCCAAACGGCGTCTTGGTTGAAAAGTGTAGGATGAAAAGCCGTCATTCTCAGATCGTTGAAAAAGACGTTGAAAACTGGGTTTTGAAAGTCTTTCCACTGACTGTTATTGGACTAAAGTGGGACAAAATAAAAGCGACCAAACACAGCTCAACTTTCAGCAACTATTTCTGGACTAAATCAAGGCTGTGACCATTTTAGCTCAAAAACCAACGTCTGAATGATGCTTGGTTTGTGTGTGTGTGTGTGTGT